GTCAATTCAAGTAATTTCGTTATACCCAAAGCTTACACGGCCAGGAATCAGAACTTGGATAAGAATCCAATCACCAACAAATGAGATCAAGCTTTGCACATTAATTTCTCTTATGCAAGATACAACAAAACTGAAAATTTCATACATCGATGACAAAGAAACTTACAACATCATATTGTAGCAAGTAATAGGAAGGGTAACCAGGAACATGAGCCAATGCCCTGTCACAAGGAATAAAACGCAGAATACACCTTGCAATATAAACTCAGGGACAATCACAGCATTAATGCGAGATGATGATTCGAACGGATTCATATAGTCAGCCTCCAAGTCCGATAAGCAAACAATCTACAACAAACATTGATCATTTTGAGAGAAAATCAACTTGAAAAGCAAATTGTGCAAGTGACTTGCAAATTCAATGATGATAGATATTGTATTCAAATAAGACGATCCTTGAGCCCATTTAAGCATGAGATCTATAAAGACAAACTAAAATAAAGGAAATTCTCAACATAATGGCAAAAGCAAAAAAGTTTGATACATTATTTATCTGTGGGCAGTCAGCATTCAGGGATGATGTCCAAATGAAAGGGAAACAGAATGAAGTTGACGTGCCCTTCAGTTTCATTAAAACATGAAGTAATCATTCATGTTTGTCAGGACTCAGATATTTGTTGACAAGATGCATAAACTGTAAACAAAAGCAAATTATACAAGAGCAAAATTTTTTAAAGAAACATTTTAGTGCTCCTCTAGGAGGGCACCACTGTAAGCTTCTTATTAGTAGTTAAAAGGACAGGAAACATCAAGTTGAGTAATGTTTTTTCAATCACAATCACAGCTCTATCAAACATGGGTCAAAATGAGAATAAATTTAAACAGCTGCTGTAGTTAATATACTCCAATAAACACATTCGACCCAAGCCTGAATTGCATTTGTTATAAGAGAATTTCTGCTTTAGCCGATGAATGGAGTCAGTGGATGAAGAATCCGAATGAACTGAAACAAGTATCTGGTTGACCCAAAAATATGGTTGATTCAATCAAGAGGCTTACACTTATAGGACTCAAATTTACGTTGAAATGTATTAGGTCAGTGCATACTTACGATCCCAAACAGGACAAGAAAGAGGAAAAAACATTGATGCAGAATCAGCAAGAAGGAAAACAAATTCCCGTCAAATTACATCATTCTATGATACCTCCTATAACTTGTTAGGTATAAAATTGCACACTCCCCTTCTTTAATTGTATAAGAAAGGGTATGTATCTAGTAGACCTTCACGATTTAGCTATAAAATTGAAAATAGAAAAACAAATGAAGCTCATGGTGATAGATAAAATCAAATTTGCCACACCATATGACTAAAATGTGGAAAACAAACACGTCGAATAACATTAGACACACACCGGATTAATTTCTCCACCTTCACTTTATCAGCAAAGGTACAGAGGTTCATAATTAGGGTTTCCGCACATGAGCTTGTGTGTAAAACCAGTTCAGAGAATACATACATGCGTATATACACAAAATGTACCTGGTAGAGATTCAACCCGATGAGAACCATGTTGATGATGAAGAAGAGTATCCAAAGAATGACTAACCACACCATTGTTGAACTCAGCAGGTGTGAATTGAATAATTGCTTCGCAGAAACACAGAAACTGATAGCGACACTCTCATGAGGGCTTATCACTTATTTTGGGGGGAGGTGAGGTGAATGGTTTGACAACTTTTAATTGCTTTGCATTTGCATTCAAATGGGTTTTGCTGCTCTGCCTTGCGAGTAAATATTGGCATAACTGCGTTGTAACGGTGTTATTAGGGTCGTCAAAATTTGACACGAAACGATTAATCGATATGAATTAATATGAATTAAACGAGTTTGGATGAGATGTTAACGGGTTTGGATGATAAACGGGTTGACACGCTAATAATGTTTAATAAATGATTCGTGTTCGGGTGAGACCTGTCAAATCGTTTATCACACGTTTTACCTGTTTAAATAAAATTAATATAATAATAAATTAATAATTATTTTAAAAAATTAGCAAGAAAAAAAGAAGTAAATAAAACAATAAAAAAAGAAGTAAATTAATAGTTTAAAGACAAAAGAGAAGAAATAAAGAGTATTTCAAAAATAAAGACAAATCAATGTCTTTTATTTTTGTTCCACATTGAAAAATGAGGGGAGATGGGAAGGGTTGAATTACTTATAAAAAGCAATGATCTCTTATTTTTTTTAAGCCTTTAAGTCTTATTTTTATGAGATTTGACTAAAAATTTCTCTTTTTTGAGGTAAGTACAATTGACAATAAAAAAAAGTGGAGTATTAGAATTTGTTAGTATAATTTTTTTAAAATTAAACGGATTAAACGAGTCGTGTTGTATTACTGGTTTATTAAAGAGGTTGTGTTCGTGTTGAGATTTTTTATCCGTTTATTAAACGGGTTTATATATTTTTTCACCTGTCACCTGTTTAGCCCAACACATAACCATTTAACTCGACACGTTTGATACCCCTAGGTGTTACTAATTAATTATAAAATAATAATTAAGTATCTTTAGACACACATAATATTTAGTTATTAATATTAGATAGAGTGTTTTGGTAGTGAACCTCACACATTTTGAGACCTAAAGTGTAAACAATAAATATGATTTTTTTAATATTAATAATTATTTTTAAATATTTTATTTTTTATTTTTTTAAAATATAAAAATATTAATTAATCTTTTGTTATCGTAGTAAAACTTGACTGGTGGAGAGAATGGGAGAAAGAATAATTGAAAATTTATGATAATAAATTTGATTTTGATTTTTTTTGGAGATTAAAACTTGATTTTTAGTAGTTTTAGTTTTATTATTAGTTTTTTTTTGTTTTCAAAAAATTGAATTTTAGAGTATTTTAATTTTATGGACTGAATTAATAGGTCTAATCAATTCAACTTGAAATATTTTATTTGGGCTTAAATTTAAGTTTTTTGTGAGACTTATTTTTTTATAGATTTAGATTTTTTTTTGGGCTATTATTGAACACTTAAAATTTATGAAACTTTTTTTAAAAATAGGGCCTAAAACCTAAGATTTATTGACATAATGATTGAACTGGACTTATACAAGATACCTTTGGACACACATAATTTTTAGTTATTAATATTAGATAGAGTGCTTTGGTGGTGATCGGGTGAGGTGATACAAGGTTTATAACTGTTACGTGAGCACTCATAAACCACTCTCGTAGAATTTTATTGGTGGAATCACGATGCTCTGCACCTGTTATTTCTCTCGAACACAAATCTAGTTAAACTTATACAACTACCAAGTGCTAACGTTGACTCTAAAATACGGACTTTCCCCAAATACATTGTTCTCAGTTATTTACACGTTTTCACCCTAAATAACAAATAAAGCGGCCTTGGGCCTGAAACGGCACCGTCTAAAAAACAATGGCGTTTAACTCACCTTGTGCTTGAACCAAACCACCAACTTCATCGACACACACAGACAAAGAGGAAGAAGCTTCACGAAAGTATTATCTGAGTTCGTCGATCCAAAAGAGCCAGTTTAAAGAAGGCCACTACGATCCTTTTTTTTTTTTTTTCCTTTCTTTCTAGCATCACAAATATTCACAGGTAATTCTTTACTTCCATGCCTTGCTCTCCTCTGCCTTGATTCCAAGGAATTTCTCTACTTGCGTTTTCTTTTCGCATTTCTATCCTCTGCTTTGATTTCCTGGATTTTCTCGACTTGGGTTTTTCTTTTCTGAGTTTTGTATTCAATCTGTTAACGGGTTAAACAGGTTTATTTCCTTTTCCTTTATCCTCAATTTCCATGAATATTTATGTGGGTATATGAGGATTTGTATTGATTTGGCATTCTTCTGAATATTATTGTGTAGTTGTGTAGACATTTCTGGGGTGTTCTTGAAATTTCACGCCTTGATGAATGCAATGTGTCATAGCTAGGACAAAGTAAAAGCTATGGATACTATGTGATTATTCATCCTCTGCCTGTACTGCAACCTGATACTTGATTACTAGCATCATTGATATTGATGGGTATTAAGTCATGGTTGAAGAAAAGATCATCATTCCAAATTACGACAATGATGCTAGTAGGTGGTTTGGTGGGTCTGAGTTAAAGTCTTTAACAGGTTCAAACACTAAACACACCATAATGGGTGAACTTGCTGCCTAGCTAGTTTGGACCTCCAGAGTAGCTGAACGTCTTTGAACTAAGTCAAATTTTGCAATGGCATGGGTTAGACTTAGACATTTTAGGTTTTGGTTCATGACTTTCTTTTAGCAATTCATTGGGTGGGAACAATAGCCTTCAGTTTCTTTCTATCACAAAGATTAATCCATGTAGCTCATTTTGCTAGTCCTTTTGTTCCCACCATTTCAAATTCATTTATGTTATTGCCCCCGAAAGAAGTTATTCAGTATATGTTTAGCACATCTACCTTGAGCAATACCCCACCAGTGTTTCGTCATAGTGCTCCGATCAGAACTTCAAATTAAGATTTTTTTTTCCACCAAAGAGCAATCATTTCATATGTTCGCTTGGGTTTTGGTTTCATTGGTTATTGTAATATTTCTGATTGCAAAGTAGAATGGATACTTTTCGTGAAGGAGCCCTTATGCAGGATTATAGAATAGCTGAGACTAACAATTTCATCATTTACAAGAAGTAATTGCTCCCTTATCTCACAAGGAGAAACAATTATTAGTGCAAGTTTAAATAAGTAGTGGGTGTTCACTCAGTTTTGTTGCAAAAAATAAAGGTTTCTAAAGAGAGTGAGTTTTTGGATGCTACTTTCGACATTTTGTCTTTGGATAGATATGTTTTTAATTCATGAGATTTGAATATCGACATTTGTCTGAAAAAATGAGCTAGTCAAACAAAATGATTCTGTGGCTTATTATGCTGGCAGTGCTTGGTAGATTATTCTTGAAGTAGAGTGCTGCTTGTTCCTGTGGCTATGCCGAGACAATGGTTTGTTCTTACATGAGCCTATGTGTGCAAAATGTGGTCTGCCTAAGGCGAGTCGTCCAAAGACAGATGAGCAACCAGATTTGTTTCATTTCTCAGACACCATCTTCATTTTGTTTCCACATATCCTCCGGGCATTCTGAATCAAAATATGCTAGCATATCTGTGTCAAAAACAAACCCCCGTTCATCTCTTGTCCGGTTTCAAGCATTCCAGGGAAGCTCTCTTGGGTCTATCATCTTGAAGCAGAGTAGCAACTGGCATTCATTAACTGTCAAAAGTATAGTTAATTCTGTTCCTTCCCAGAAGACATGCCTTTCTATTTCAGTGGGGTGCCAAAATATGAATGTGAGGCTTTGGGTGCCTAGACACACAATAACTCTCAAACTCGATCATAATATGGGTCCTGTTTTGTGGCTGAAAGGATTTTCATCTGCTGGTTTAGTTTTTGGTTTGTTTGTTTGTAATTCAAATTCTGAACCAGTTCATGCTGAGGCACCTGGGGCGAAAGATGATCCTGATTCCTCAGCTGCCAACTTTTCACATGGGAAGAAAGTCTATACCAACTATTCTGTTATTGGTCAGTAGAAAATTATTTCTAGTCTTTTTATTTTGCCATTTCTTTTTTAACTTTTTTCCAGAATATTTGTTCACCATCTAAGTATATTTCTATCTGTATTTGTCTTCTTGATGCTATTTCAAAACACATGGTTGCAAATTTTTGTTTTGTTTCCACCAGACTTGTTTTGACGTAGATAACTGCTCCACATTTGTAGGCATACCTGGAGATGGGAGATGTTTATTTCGCTCTGTTGCTCATGGAGCTTGTGTACGGTCGGGAAAGCCTGCTCCGAATGAGAGCCTTCAAAGGGAACTAGCTGACGAATTACGAGCAAGAGTATGGTTATTCTCCTTCACTATGGATATTGAGAAATTCACAATTTTGTCCATTATTTTTACTAGATTTTCCTTTTATGGGGTTGCCTTTTTGTTTACTTTCTTTTTTCCTTTCTAAATCAAGAGCCCTACCCCCTTGCCTCAAAGCATGCACATGTAAAAAGTGATGGATGTCGGAATGCGATGAAGTAGTATTTGCTTTTTTGCTTCGTGTATGCTCAAGATAAGCTTGTTTATATCAAAACCTTATAGACAATGTCCCCTGATTTGGCATCTGCTAATTCTGTTAGGTAGCAGATGAATTTTTCAAAAGGCGGAAAGAGACAGAATGGTGAGTGTTCTGAGTTTTTTTCAGTTAATCCAACTGATTTTGCAAATCGTGAGTGCTAGTTTTCAGTTCCTCTGTAGTTATTTTGGCTAACAGATGCTAGAAAAGATTATCTAAGCCTTGTGGATGATGTCATCATGAAGCAATTGTATTTGTGCATTGGTGAAGGACATTGATAACGTATGCATTCTAGATATTTGAGTTTTAAATTTTGCTCAAGCTATGTTAGATTCATGCTACTACAAATCAAAACAAAAAATAAAAGGTTTGTCTTCTTAAATGAGAGAGATGGTCTTCTTTTCACAAATGTTATTAATTTTGGAGATGGATGTGTAGTTGATGGTTTCAAAATACGTTCAGGTTCATAGAAGGTGACTTTGACACCTATGTTTCACAAATAAAGAAGCCTCATGTATGGGGAGGTGAGCCTGAATTGTTAATGGCTTCTCATGTTCTCCAGTAAGTCTCTCTCTCTCTCTCTGTTTTTGTGTGCTGGCATGCTGGGACATTCCAGTGGTTGTGTGTTTATAGGAAACTAGGCTGATCTATCTTCTTAATGAGTAATCCATTTTTGACTGGATCTAGTCATCAATTGCAATGTGTACTAGGGGCCAATTTTTTCCCTTTCTTGTTCTCTTATTCAGTTGAATAATAGAAGGGGTCCTTTTTGTATTGTGTTGGGGGTGCCTCCAACTTATTATGTGTGATTAGTGTGACCGAGAGAGGTACTTTACATCGAGTGGGAGGGGGCGAGGGGGAGATTGGTATATGCCGCCGGAATTTACAATTTTGATTGTTTGACATGTCTTGCTATTAAATATGTAGGAAATCTCTGATGAACCATATGTAATATTGCAGACTTCATATTTGGTATCGATATTGAGATTCTATAGTTCTAAACATTAAGGACATTAGACTGCATGACTTATAAATTCTCGTGACTGTAGGATGCCAATCACAGTCTACATGCACGATGAGGATTCTGGCGGCCTGATATCCATTGCCGAGTATGGACAAGAATATGGCAAAGACAATCCTATCAAAGTCTTGTATCATGGTTTTGGCCATTATGATGCATTGCAGATTCCTGGGAAAAAGGGTGCAAAACCCAAATGGTAGAATCTATTTTTGAGTTTCAAAATGTGAACCAGCATCAATACTATTATTTAGAGAACAAAAGGATCTGTATTTTTTCCTTCATTGTATTGTCACGTTATTATGATCATATGATGTCCCCTTTACAGAAAAGGCTTCGAGTCAATAAACAAATTTTTCCAAAAAATAAGAGTAATCTTTCTGGCAAAATTGTAATCTGCACTTTCTTTGCCTGAAAATTGTCTGGCGATCAAGTTTTCTCTATCATAATAACAGATTTTGGTGCAACAGATGATATTTTGGTAAATGGTATTGGCGATTTGATTGATGAGGTTAGGCTTTTCTTTGTAAAATGATGTATTTTTGTTGTTGCTGGTGTGTGTTATTAGCTTGTGTGCAGATAGTGAGCATGCTATGGTCATGTGTGGAATAGCATAGGTGTGGCATTTAGAGCAGAATGACAACACTAAAATGATAAAATGTACGCAATCTTATCCCACGCACACGCGCAGAGAGGTGGTTTTCGTAACGCAAACCATGCCGTTGGAGCACCAAGTAGCAAGTTCACCCAAAAATTTGATATCTATTCTTTCCAAAGTTGTGCTTTTGGAGATTTTGACGGGTCAGTCACCCAACCGGACCGGCCGGTTTGACCGGTTAGGCCTAGTGGTTGAACCACTAAATTATTGACCCGGTCTCTCTGTTCGATGTTCGATCCGATTCTGATAACTATGAGTATAGAGTCCTGTAAGGAAGGTGTTTCGAGATGAAAGACCCTTGTGTGAGATTATAGACCCTACAACTTTGCATGAGGCTCATGCAAAGAAACAGGGTGTTACAGCATATTTAGTATTGTGCTCAATTGCCCAGTAACTACTAGATACAGAGTTTCGACCTCGGATAAGAACAGTTTCTGAGAGTCTTGATTGCATCAAATTGCAGTGAAGGAGAAGAAAATTAGACATCTAAGGAGGTATTGTGTAATATTTCCAAATGCTGAAGCTGTTCTCTCCGAAACATACCTTTGATGTAGGGTTGCAAAGATAAGGTTTTTAGTAGGAAAATAATTGTTTTTTGATTCAACAGTTAAAAATGTTCGAATTAATTTATGTATACCTCGACTAATAAGTAGAAAAATGAATTATTGTTTTATGTGTCTAGATAATTAGACGCGTCTTCTTGAATGGTAAATGCCTTAGAAAAGTAATAACCCAACACCAGTTTCTTTGTCATTAAATCACTTTAGAGAAGCAAAAGATGCAAGTAAAAAGGAATTGTCTATTGTACCCAAAAAAAAAAAAAACAAATTCCATATCATACTTATATTTATCACATTTATAATTATATTTACTATTATTGTGAATATTTTTACAATTTATGTAGTACTGAAAAAAAATGGTAAAAATAGTTACCACACCACTGATAAAAATACCCACAACACTGATAAAAATAATTATTACAACACTAATAAAAATATTCATAACAATAATAAAATTACCTATAACAGTGATAATTATTTTTATACCAACGAAAAGTAATAAACATAGTTGCCACAACAGTGTTAAAAATACTCAAATGATAAAAAAATACCAACAAAAGTTATAAGTTATAAATCACGCATAAAGTGATAAATTTTTTAATTATAATATAACTCATAAAAATTATAAAAATACCTATTAAAATAATAAATTTTTTTGGTACCATAATGAATTTTTTTTGTAGGTACCAAATTTTTTTTTTTGTCTATACCTTGTCAAGTCCAAGTAAAAAAAACCAGCCACCAAATCTTCTCTGATATCCAAAAATAGAAATTACAAGTACGTTGACTTTGTGTGGTTACGTTCTATTCCACACACTTGCACACAAATAAACACTTTTAGATGTATTAATTATAATACATGTTTTCTTTATTTTTTTTGGTGAGTTTAATACACTGAATTCAAAAATAATCTATTGTATTATATAGAAGCAGAATCATTCATTAATACTTTGCAAGAAATATCATATTAGAGGTTAAGTTTGTTTTTTGGACCAATCACTGGATTGATAGATAGATAAAGGACGTTAGTCCCTTGCCCTCTCTAGAGTTATCCTGCAACAAAAATCAAAAGGTCATAGGGACACTAGAATCTCTGACCGACCATTCATTCACAAGATTACAAAATTCAATGTCTTTTGTTAAGCCCCGCGCTTGCTTTATAATTGTCTTTGCCCATTGTCTAATATTCTCTAACAGTCATTTGACGGTGAAGAATGTTCGAACTAATTTATGTATATCTCGATTAATTTTATTTTCTGATTCGATCATCTACGTTAAAATTAAGGTATTTATAAGAGAGAAATTCATTATAGTCTGACTCTAAATAATTGTCAAGATTTGAAATCAAAACGTCTATATTTATAACTCATCCTTATTATTATTTGAACAAACGGGAACCAACCGTGTTTAAAACTACAGATGCTTGAAAAAAAAACCTTGGTTACAACAGATAAGACAGAACAAAGGCATAAAACCGAATGTAGGCTTACGTGTGCATGTTTCCCTCCACACAAACACCACCAAACTTTAACGAGGCCATGGATACGAATGCATTGTCTTGTTACTTTCGCGCTATAATTTTTGTGCAGAAAGATGAATTCGTTAGTTTTGTATACTTTTATTCTTTATTACCGGGACCATCAAGAGATGCACAACAAACCATAAAAAAAAAAAAAGATGGTAGGAGACCACCAGAAATAACTTGTGATATAAACCTTTTCTAGTTAGTTTCAAAATTTTCCTTGAAAATGTCATGAATCGTATAGGATGTCGATAATAAACAATAAAAATAATATATCTGCTGCACCACGAGTGAAGGAACAAGCATTCAAAGAATAAATGAGACCCACCCGAATGTGGGGCTGAATAAAGTTGTCAAAAAATGGAACATAAGAAATCAAACTTTGCTAAAATTAAGGCTTGACCCACCCACTTTTTTTTTTAGAAAATTCGGTGCGACCACCTAAGTTAATTGTTCTAAGAATGGTGATTGTGACGGTGGTGGTGATGGTCCCATATTTACAGTTGGTCCTTCCTCATTCTGGTGTTTTGTGACCATCCCATCAGCAGGATGTGAATCTTATTCTTCAAATCTAACCGAGCATAATTTTATAAAGCTTTAAAAAGAAGCAATGGATTTACATTCACTTTCCATACAAACATGACATTGATTTTTGTTAAATAGTGTTTTTACCTTTTTTTTTTGGTTCAATGATAAAGAGTGTTCAAACTAACTTACGCATATCTTGAATAATCTTTTTTCGATCTGATCAAAAACAGTCATCCACGACGCGATTAGGTTATTTATCCCTCATCATTTGACCTTAAAAAATTATTAAAATTTGAACTCAAGACAGCCTAAATTTTTACCTCCTCTCAAATAATGAAGTTATTGACCAATTCTTAGATACATCCTTGTTTGCCATTTATGCATATTGAGAATATTCCCTACAGCGATATTTCAAAATCGTCTTAATCACATGTACTTTAAATTTATTATTTTTTTGGGAGTTAATTGAGAGATTAGATAAAACTAGCAGAACGCCCCCCCCCCCCCCCCCCCCCCCAAAAAAAAAAAAAAAGAAAAAATGGGCAGTTTAGCAAGACATGTAACCTTAAAAACTACCAACTTAGAGAATAATCCGAAAATTCCTCTTGATTTTATGCTTATCTCTAGCAAAAATAACATAAATTCCATCATCATCGTCATCATATTCTTCGTATTCTTTTGATTTGACTTACCTTCTATGATTTGATTTCTCGATGGAATGCAATCACAATGGTTTAGGTAGAGGTGTCAAAATATGACACGATTCATTAACATGATATAAATTTATTTGTTTATATATCAATTATACACAACTTATATACAACACAAAACTGATATAACACGACTCGATATATATAAATATTAATAAACAAATCGGGTATATATAGAATATTTTTAACACAAACCCAATAACACTCGACACAAATTTACTTCACTCGACAAGACTAATGCCCAAGTTTAGGAACATGTGGTCCCATGTTACACGGCTTTAGGGTGTTTACTAATGTTAAATGTTAGAAACTAGAATATGCTTTGCTTTCTTTAAGTTTATGTAGTATTAGATTGAAGACAGAGCACTGCTCTTGGCTCCACATGGTTTTGACGCATTTATAATTATTTAAATGTTTCTAAATCGATTTATTCGAATCCAAATCCCTGTTATATTATCTTAATCTTTCTAAAATTAATAGAGTGAACAAAGATAAATTGTAAATTTAGGTATTCTGAGTTTAAATTTTAATAATTTTTTAGGTCATTTCCCTCATAAATAATTTTAGTCTCGACGTGAATGACCTGTTTTTGACCGAACCAGAGAAGAGATTAATATATCCAAAAGACCTACACAAATTTTGTTTTCATATAAAAAAAAGAGATTTTAATTCACTTTATAGTCCAATAATTTTATATAATATGACACCTAATAACTTGAATCATACAAATTATAAAAGCACAATAACGTTCAAAAATGATTTAATTTTTATATATTTTAATCTAATAGTATAAAATCCATCTCAAAAATTTTTTTTTCTTAGAAATTTCATATTTTTTGCACAGCTCCAAATATCAAATAACTCAAATACACATTCAACCCTATTAATCCATAATTACTTATTTTTTCTCTCTCATATCTCTCTTATTTTTTATATGTTCACCTAAATTTTAAATTGAGTAATTAAAAAATAAATTATTATTTAAAATATAAATATAACACGGTCAATGTTTAATTTTTGGTATTATAAAATAATTTCAAGAACGAGGTTATTATTAATAAAATCATATAATACATACATAATCAAAAATTAAACATGCCTTAACCAAAAATATATTTTCCTATGGTAACACTTTCTTTCTTTTTTCACGATCAGAGGTTCAGATTAATTTATGCGCACTTCAACTAATTTCCTTTTCAATCAGGTCAAAAATAGATCATCTATGCTGAAACTAAATTATTTACAAGAGATAAATTTTTAAAATTTAATCTCAAAAAATTATAAAAATTTAAATTTAAGACACTTGAATTTAGAGGGTGGATAATACCACTCTCATATGGAAGGGCATCTATCCAACTAAATTGGCAGAAGGGCTATTGATGCCGGCTGGTACTTTGTCTTTGGTTGGACTTGGAAATAGCAGATAAAAAATTTGTTTTTAATTCTTCTATATGTCTCTCTCACTGCCATCTTCACCAGCCAGTCATTGCCATCTCTCTCTCTCTTGCTCATCTTCTTTTTAAACCTTTCGGTGCTCTAAAAGGAAACATTCAAACATGAAATATCTAACGGGATATGCACAATTGCCATTATCTCTTCACACCTGAGGCTGTCACAGTTTGCCAATCTCTCTCTCTCTCTCTCTCGATATAGGACTTCAAAATTCTATTGAATTACAATAGTAGTCCACGCACTCCAAACTCTGCTTTTAGTCGTTCTTTCATGGCAAACAGACCCAAAACAAGCCTAAGGTTCAGTTAGTTAAAATCATATATGCTTGCTTGTGCTTGAAGATTTCATCTCCAACTGCTTGAAAAGCAAGCAGTTTCTGTTAAAAAGATAGTCGAATTTTCTGGGAAAAAAGTCGAGGAATGTATGGTGATTCCCGAGCATACTCGGCGGATTCGATTGCTATATTTCCTTCAACTTGGCAACCCAAGAGAGAAGAGATTGCAAAGAGCAAAGAACCGTCGATGGACTCTGAGAGTAGAATCAACTTTCATGACTACAGACAGTATCAGCACTACCAGAACAATTCTGGGTTGTTGAGGTTCCGCTCAGCTCCGAGCTCTTTGCTTGCAAGTTCCACAGATGGGGTTGTTAAGAATTGCAATTCGAATCAAGAACATCAAGGGTTGAATTCAAGATTTAGTTCCTCTACCAGGAATGGAACTTTGATTTCAGAGAGTTTTCATGATTTGGAAGATAATAAACCTTTGGATAATGGGTCTTATTCCTTGAGTTCACAATACCCACCTCAGTATCCGAGACAAGTTACAGGAACCCAAGTGTATGGTGTGGATTATAGGGTTGTGAGTTCAATGGGAATGGAACATCAGGGGCAAGGAAAATTGGGTTCCAATCTCATGAGGAAAAATAATTCCCCAGTTGGGTTTTTCTCTCACCTCACTGCTCAAAATGGTATTGTTCATCTTCTTGCTCATTGATTGCTTCACCCTTTGATCTTTGTGGGACTCTTTTCATTCAGTTTTAGTCTATACGGCTGAGTGGGATTTGATTTATTCAATTTGTAATTGATTTCTGCAGAAACTATGCATCTCAATATGGATGGATTTGCTATCTGGAGTTCTAATTTCACCTAATATATATGTGTTTTTTTTTTTGCTATAGGATTAACTAAGAAGCTCATGATGTGTGGACTGTGGAGCACTTCTCATTTTCGCAATCTAATTGTGTTTAAATACTGATTCCTTGATTCATGATTAGTTTTTCAATATGACTTTTCCTAATTTAGATTTTTTTTTTCACTTCTATATTGTTTGATTGATGAAGGTTGCTTAGCAAGTAGTGTAGAGCAGAATTGAGTTAAACCAGAAAATTTCATATTTAATACTGCTATAGGAGTATGGGTCTATGATGCTTATATTATCTGGGAGAATATTTTGGTAATTGGTTGCGGTACAAATATTCGAAAATAAAGGTAATAAAATATTGAATTCCACATTGTTTAGCACTGCATAGCCAACTTTGGGGGAGTTTTTTTAACTGCAAAAACTTTGGGGGAATTTTGTAATCAGTCGCTGGAATGTATTACTGAAAGTTCCTCAGCAATTTGCAGGCTATGCCACGATGAGAGGTATTGGAAACTACAGACTGGAAAATGGTTCTAATGATGATTTAAGTCCACCATCAAGCAGGTTGAAAGGTCAGATGAATTTCTCCTCCAGGGTACCATCTTCCTTGGGAATTTTGTCTCGAATATCTGAAAATGAGAGTGAAAACATTGCGGTGAGTGGTCCTGAGGGTGAAAGGCTTGGAAATGGCAATGGAGAGACTCAATTTTCCAGCTTTGGATACCCATTTGGTTCATGGAATGATTCGTCACAGTTCACACCGAGTTTCACTGGCCTGAAGGGGGAGAGAGACGATGATGGGAAATTAATTGCTGCTATTCAGGTGACATTTTTTGCATCACATTGATCTGATCTCCACATTAAGTTGACCTTATGATTTGATTAGACTTGTTGGATTTTAATCAGAATGGGGAGCTAGGAAATCACATGCCTATTTTGTCACACCACTTAAGTTTACCAAAGACTTCAGCTGAAATGACTGCCATGGAGAAGTTACTACAATTTCAAGATTCTGTTCCCTGTAAAATCCGTGCAAAGCGAGGTTGTGCCACTCATCCACGAAGCATTGCAGAGAGGGTAACCTTCTCTATATCTTGAACTAGTTCTAGTCTTTTGTAGCACCTTTAATTAGACAGTCAACGTCGTTTCTGTGGTTACTACAGTAATTAGATTCCATTGCATTATTGTTGTTTTGCTGGATTATCAATGCTTATGCATTCTAAATTGGGAAATAGTTGGTGATCTGATTGCATGATGAGATCATATAATTTCAGGTAAGAAGAACTCGGATCAGTGAACGAATGAGGAAACTGCAAGAGCTTGTTCCAAACATGGACAAGGTATATTACTTTTCTTTTGCCTTTCAGCTTCTATATATGATTATTTGTTGAAACTCAAATTAATCCTATCTCTTCTTGGCAGCAAACGAACACAGCAGATATGTTAGATTTGGCTGTTGAGTACATTAAAGACCTTCAAAAACAGTACAAGGTGCTGAAGAATGAACAGACTAAATTTCAAAGCAAATATTCTCCTTAACCACTCGTTACTTACCCTTAACATGTTCATTTCTTTTGCAGACTCTTAGCGATAATCGGGCAAGTTGCAAATGTTCCAGTATGCAGAAGTCAGACCCTAATCAAACAGTTTGATTGCTTCTGTACAGAAAATAAGGGAAAGATTGAAAAGTTGATAGCTATATAGGGCTTCTCTTTTTTCTGCCCAGAAGAGAAAGAAGAGAGAAATTTGATTTTTTCTTTTTTCTGTGAAGTGGGTGTGAAGAAGATGGGATGCTACAATTTCAGCTGTAAGATCTAGAGACTATAAGGGTTAAGCAAACAAGGTTTCGAACTATATGATTAGGGAGGCTAAAATAGATAAGGTTGTATAAGTATGATGTAATAATATATTCCTTGTTACCTGTAATTTTTATGGTATGCTTAATAAACTTTTTATGTTATATTAGTGAAATACTGTCGAGAATTCTAAAAAGGAAGTCATATGTATATATATATGTTTTTAGTTATAGATATATATATTAATTAAGTTTTGTTGAGTTTTCGAGCTTGTCGAGCTTGTTTTTCTAAACGAGCCTAAACAATTGTTCAATCTCGACATGTTTAGTAAATGAGTTAAACGCGAATAACTCGACTATTTTACAAATAAATTAGTTGAGTTTTACGAGTTGAAGCCGAGTCTTTTAGATTTGTTTTTTAAACGAGTTTAAAAAATTATTTAACTTCGGTTCATTTAAAACATGAGTTAAGATCGATTTGAGTCCTTTCTGAATTGAATGTAAACCAAATTTGTGTAACTCGACTTAATTATCAATCCTATCTTAAAATATTACTGCCTAAATGGTGTGGACCAAAAGGTATAAATGTATTATTATCTTCACTAGGGATATTTTTCTATTTTCAAACCAACCATGCCATTAATGGAGAAGTGAGTGACAAGTGCATGCCAATATATCTGGAAGCTTAACGCCCACATCATTTAACCTCTCTCTCTCTCTCTCTCCCCGAATAAATGAACCTTATCAAGTTTCCATTCTTTTAGTCCAAGAAAATGCTATATGAAATCACAAGTTTTATGCATCTTGTTTTTTTACTCATTCAGGTCATTCATGTGACAGTTGACTTCCACCAACAGAACATGTTCTTTCAGGGAAATGTTATCCAAGAACGTGGAGTCCCAACTCACTTGTCTCGCAACTTTTTGACCGGAGAATGATGGATTTAGCCTACTACTTAGGGTAAGAGGCATGACTGCATGAGAACAACTTAATGTGTTAAATTATCAAAAACTAATCATCTCTTATGAAGCTTGAACTTCTGACCTCTTCATAAGGATCCTAAATCTCTTTGTGAGAATTTTTTTTAGTCCAACGGTTAGTGGTTTTCAAACAAATTTATGTGTATTTCGATTAATTCCCTCTTTAATGTCGTTGTTGAGGTGGATTTTTTCGGTGAAGAAGCTCGTTGTTCATGCGGCCGGCGTCGATTGAAGATTAGCGACTGGGGTACTCTGTCGAAGTTCAAGAGAAGGAGAAATTTTAGGGCTTTGGGAAAGAAAGTGTGCTAGTTCGGGGAGAGAGAGTGAAAATATGGCTGATTTTTTGATGAAATCAGATTTTTTTAAGTTTTTTTTTAAGAAATTAGGTGGCTTAAGTTGCTGAGTTGGTAAGGACACCTCAACTACCACATCATTAGATCACTTATTTAGGTCCAAAAATCAGGTCCTCCAGTAGCATTACCCTTGTATGTGTACTACTGTCACGGGGTAACAACTCGTTTTTCGTTTTGAGGTTATTTGTGAAGGCGTTGCTGCTGCAACCAGCCACTCAATCTCAAGAACATGGGACAAAAACTCACACAGAAAGCACACGCGAATTTACTGAGACAACACTCCCAAACCTTATATATTGAACTCAACAATTTACAAGGAAACTCTCAAAGCCAGAACACTTTCTCTGACTATCAGAATGCCCAAGCAGTCCTATTTATACAAGATCATGGCAGATGGATGCCAAAGGGTAGTTACCCACATTCTGCTATTCCATAGCAGACTTGGCCAACATGCTTCATCTCTGTGCAACACCTGACAGACAGTTTCACTCATTCAGTAACTAATGTGAAACTGCCTCTCATTAGCATGCATCTGGACTAGAATCTGGCTAGGAATGTCCAGAACTACTTCCCACAGACTAAGCCTTGTTCAGTAACTACCCACATCCTTCTAGTCATATGCATTGAGCAGCCATGTGCTAGTCATGTGTCCAAATTCAGTAGTTAGCCTTGCCTCACAAACTGTTGTGTATGCTCCATGCCATGCAATTCAAAACTATGCACCCACATTGCCTCAATTAAGCCCACCACGTGCTGTTATGCTCAGCCGGGTGGTCTCATGCTGCCACAATCCGCACCAATCTGTCAAACCGTATAACCGCATCACCTTGATTCAATCTCATGGCGTGCCTTGGTGCAAGGTGCCACCAATATCGCCATTATGCACCTAAGTCAATTAGGGTGTGACAGCTAGCATCTAACACAACTTTTGTACTTAAAGTTATCATGTAGAATTGTCAGACTGCCTGAAAAGAAGGGGCTCTATCTATGTTAAATCCTCAGATTGGGACATTGACTAGATTGAATTGGGCGAAGTAATTCTTTTCAGGCAACCAATTATTTAGCCCCAAGAGGATTAACAGTTAACAGTTGAGATGGTCGAGTATTTTGGGGAATGGAGGAGTGGGGGGTTGAAATTCTAGTGTCAATGTTAGTATTGTAATTTGGGCGGGTCAACCTGAATTCAATTTGAACTAGGGGTGTTTTTTGGTCGGGCTAACCCGATTTCAACACGAAAAAATTAGAGCTTAGATTATGATTTTTAATAGTTGGGTTGGACTTGAGTCAAAAAATCTCAACCCGAATTCAATTTGCGCAGGCCTAGGGTTGAGTAATCAGGTTCACAGGTTGAACCCGAATATTAAAATCGGGCTCAACCCGAAAAAATTAGAGCTTAGATTAGGATTTTTAATACTTGGGTTGGGCTTGAGTCAAAAAATCTCAACCCGAATTCAATTTGCGCAGGCCTAGGGTTGAGTCATCAGGTTCATAGGTTGAACTCGAATATTAAAATCGAGCTCAACCCGAATTAATATTATATAAATAAAATTTTATCCTAGGGTTAATCTCAACTCAAGTGTGCGCCTCCCTCAAACCCTCACTCACTCTTAGTCTTTCTCAAGAATTCTGGTTGTGCAAGGATTTTGTTTAAACAGTGAAATCTATGTTTGTGTAAGGATTTTGATTGTGTTTATTTGTATTTTGTATGGTTGTGGTTGCATTATCTCAAATATTGAATTCTTAATATTATGATTTTATGTTAAAAACTTGATTGAAGTAACTTGAAATCAACCCGAGCCTGCGCGAATTAAACTCGGACAATGATCAGGTTGAGTTTTTCAACCCGACGTAGGGTAAGGGTTAGGGTTGAAGATTATATACTTAAAGTTGGGCTAGAGTTGACTGTTCAACCCGCCCGAGTTGCACCCCTAATTTGAACTTGAAAAAGTAAGGCTTGAGTTGAGGCTTTTAATTTTTGGGTTGGGTCTGAATTGAAAAACACAAATTCGAATTGAATTTGGACAATACTCGAGTTGAAGCCTCGGGTTATCGGGTTCAACCCAAATATATAAATCAGGTTCAACCCAAACATATTTAAAAATAAATATATAAATCTATAGATTCAATAGTATAACTTACAACTAGAGTTTATACGCCACAATTCACTTTAGCGAACACAACTCGAATTTTAATTCGAAATCAGCTTGAGTTAAGTAACCTGAATCTAACCTGAATTTTTACCCAAATTAAGTAACTCGAATTTAACCCAAGTTCACCCAAATTCAACTTGGATAGTACTCAAATTGAGTACCTCAGATTGAGATCAGATTAGGGTTAGAATTAGAGTTGAAAATTATATACCTATTATTAGGTTAAGATTGACCTCTCAACGCCCCTAACCTGTCTGAATTGCACCCTAGTCAATGATATGCACTAGGGGGTTTGAATTATTTGCCTCGCACAATGCAAAATCATGTCACTTATGTCAATCCTAAATGTTGTGCGTTTGAATAACATTTTATAGGTCTCTGAATCATTTGATTTTGTAATTCATTTACTTGCTAGCTTCTGAGGGTATTGAAATTATCTTCTATTATCCTTCTCAGGTATTGAGTTGGTACTAGCGCATACTATCGAGGTGCATTTGGTGCAGTGTTAGTCTATGACATGACCAAGCATCAGATGGCTCGGTGGCTTGAGGAACTAAAGGGACATGCCGATAAGAACATTGTTATAATGCTTCCGACCACATTTTCTATAGGGTCCTCTTATATCTTCTTTTTCTGAGTTGAAATTATGGAAGAAGGAATCGACAAGGTGGTCTCGGCAACAATTGGTATTATTACGGTATAGCCTATGATGTACATATTGATCTATCATGCGCTATACCCCAACAACTATTCTTATTACCACGCCTCCACAGAACCCTCAAAACTATGAACCAGCCACCATCACTATACAAGTGTGACTTAGGAAGTCTGCGAGCAATACCAACCAAAGATGTCCAAGAGTTTGTTGAAAAAGAGAACCTATGTTTCATGGAGACATGAGCAATTGAGGCTACAAATGTTGAAAGTGCATGCATTTATGACAGTTCTAATTGATCTATAGTATATCATGAGCAAGAAGTCCCTCACTGCCATCGGTGGAGCAGACCATGCGGAAACGACATCTCTCAAGGGTACTAAGATCCTTGTTCCTGGCCAGGAATCAGATTCCAGTGGGAGAAAAGCTGGTTGTTGCTTGCCATAGTGTAATCTTCACTTTTGCTTCTTATATTCTTTCTATTTTTTGTTTTTTTGTTTTTTTAGGTATTTTGATCCTCTGAATATTTTTGTCTATTTAGGCTACATTTGCATTGAGAAAAACTATGATCTTGTAAAAAATAGAGCATTGACCTTAATTTAGAATGAACTGTACATCAGTGAGGGGGTGTTGCTCATATGTATGCTATTTAATTGAAGTACTTTCCTACTATGATATGAAAAGACCAAACCACTGCTAATAAAATTCACTAAACTCTTGATGACCTATGATCTGGATACATCTATCTCAAATGGGGTGAATTCTCGATTCAAGTCATTGAAATGTACAACCTCAAATTATAAAATTAATCCTAAATCAATTCGCTTGAGGACACTTAGCACAAATCTAAAATACATATTAAGTGACTAAGTGTATATAGATTGACAATTATATATTGTTTTATGTAATAGAAAATCGAGTATAAGTGTAAGATACATGGTAATTAATTTAATGTTTATTAATGTTCAATAATATATAATGTATAGTAGTGAAAATGATCTAGACAAGAGTTTCAAAATGAATTGCGATCCAAAACACCGTACCAACTAACCCTACCCTCATTGTACTGCATATCTAAGAAAATGTTGTGTCATTGTACCTATACCTGTACCCGTACCCTGTACTAAAACAATCCACGATCCTAGTAAATCATCCTTTTCAAGAGGGAAAATATTTTCTTCTTCTTCATGAGTTTTATTTCATGGTTGAACCAAGTTTCATATGTGACTCTTTAAGAACATGAAAGCTTTGTACTTTAAAAATGTATTTTGAAAAAGTGTTACCAAATGAAGTCTTGAGCTTAAAATTCCGGTATTTTTAATAGCAAAGGGCCACAATAAGCTCATCAGTTGTGCATTCTAATTAGTCACCTAAGTATTAAGTTGTTTTTCCCCCTTTTTGGTTGATTTTGAATCTATCTTAAGGGTCAGCTAAAGGTTGACATTAGGGGTCAACAATGGGCCGGGCTGGGCTGGTCTGTGTAAAAAAATTCTTGCCATAAATGTCAATTAGGGGTGACAATCAAATGTATCATATTATGTTTGAATTATATCTAATCAAGTTCATGTTAAGTACTAATTAATTATAACGCTAGCATATGATTGTATGTCACGCCCCATCTTGGTCTCCCAAGGATAAGACATAACTAGGTTTTTGATACATCTGTTTACATATATATAATCTAAATTAAAAAAAACACTAATTAATCTCACACGTGCAATAATACCACTCATCACCTTAGTTAATAAGTATGATGGTAAACCTGTCTCATAACCTGTATCATATATAATACATGTACCAATTGTTTGTTTCCGAGGTTATAGACAAATACAAAATTCCACACCCACATAGCATACATCACAAAATATGTCTGTTGAGTCTGTTTACAAATATATATACTATTAACCTACTATAATAATCTCCCATTAACATAATATACACCCCAACTAATAATTATACAGTCCCCCAACCAATATCATTGACTCATCTAAAAGTAAATAGATAAAGAATAGAATATCATACTAACATTGTACAAAACTCAACCCTTCTTGACAGTGGACTGATCTGTGTCTCCCTCTCTTGTACCTGAAAAGGAGAAGCTATAGGGGTGTGAGCTAAACCACGTGCTCAGTGAGTGTATATGCCTTATATGAAATAAAAATAATAGTAATACACAGAAGTAGATAAATACTACATAAATACACATATCAAACAATAACATTAATCCAATTTCAAAACATTAACAAGCCACAACATATCCATACTACTCCCATCGGGTAATCGATCCCACATGGATCTATGTCTCCCGAATCTCCCGGGAACACCACAGTGCTAGCACACCACTATATGCCCAGTGATCAGGCATCGACGCTTCTGTCTCAAACAGTGCACCACATTCCACAATACACAATGCACAATACAAAGCATCATCCAATCACATAAGCACATAACACATAATCTTGGAGAAATGCTATTAAATTCGATCATCTAATATCATTTTATAATAGCATTTTTAAAACATATAAAGATATACACCCACCTCAAATACATCGATCTACAGCCTTCGGTTCTATCGATGGATCTTTCCGGTGTTATCGTATTAATTTGAACACCGATTGTCTCACCCGTTGTACCTAACACATTTGTAATTACCATATCAATATGTTTATCACATTTAATAGTTAATCATGAACTGCATGCAAAATGATGTACCCAAAGTGCCCCGATAACCCCGGTTACCGCACTGTTTACTCACATATTGACACATTAGATTTAGGGATCATATTTCTTCCCAAATTTTTAAAAATCACTCACATTAATCATAATTATGATTAAATAGGTCAAACACATTGATCGGGGCCCATTTCCATACATTTTGACTCCAAATTCCAAAAATTGCACTTCCTACATTTAGTAAATTCCGCACCGGATATTATATTCATTTGCATTATAAATTTACATTATCACATCAAACATCATTTAAAAGTAATGCATGCAAAATTTCAGGTCATTTGGATTAAAATTCACACATGTAACAATAACATTTAGAAATTAGGATTTCGGCGTTACCGACACTTATTTTCAATTTATATCGTATTTTTCCTTTAAAATCACTGCACTTAAATTCACATACACATTTAATCAATGCAAAATAACCCCTAATTGAGCCTTTAAACCACCCCTTTCATCCCCAAAATTTCGGTTCCATCTTAGCTCTCGAAAAATATACTGAACATCTTAAATGACCATTTGGAACTTTGAGAAAATATACCGAACATCGCAAAACAACCCCTAATTGAGCCTTTAAACCACCCCTTTCACCTTTGGTTTAATACCCATTTGGAACCCTTACTTAGCAGCATGTTAATTACGTTTCATACACTTAATGAAATTAACAAAAATCTGTTGTGAAATTAAAATACAACAACCCACTAATTTGTGTTTAATACACCTAATTTAGGCTCCCAAAAATATGTTTTGAAATAAACTAAAATAGTCCATAAAATTAACTAAAACAGTACATGAAAGTAAATTAAAATAGCCACTAATTTGAAATAAAACAGCCTCCACATATACATACATACCTTCCTTTCCTATGTTTTTACTCTCACATTTGATTTGGCATGAAATCCCCCAAGTTCTCTTTTTTTTTTTTTTTTTTTTTTCTTCTTCCTCTCTTTTACTCTTGTTCACCCTCACTTATGGTTCCAGCAAGAACCAGACACACACACACACACACACACTAAATTCTATATTAAACACACACACCCCTTTACTTTTTACATTACACACACACACCCCTTTACTTTTTACATTACACACACACACCCCCATTTTTTACACCTAGTCACACACCCACACGCACACGTCACACACCCATACATGCACTTGAAAGACCCATCACCTTATGTTTGACACATATATAAAGATATTTCAATCAACTTTAATAATTTCACTTGCCTTCCCCTAAATTTTTAAGTGATTTCAAAATCAACCCAATACCATTTTCATACACAAAATTCTATCTAATAAATAATTTCACATAATTATAATTAGTCCATATAATTATGCTAATATGTATGCAATGCATGATCGGGTCTCACATTGTATCAACTATTTGATGGTAATCCAACCGACCTTACTAATATTCGTGTTGTTGTGTTTGAGCCAATCCTCTTAACTCGTGACCAATAATATGGGGAAATCTCAAGTCTTGATCTAAAATTTCATTTTAGATCCAAAGTCAAAACAAATTGACACATTATTGTGGTTGAATCTCTCTCTCTCTCTCTCTCTCCATTGCATTGATGGATGAACACAATTCAAGTAATAACATGAGGATTTAATAGGTTTTAGACACTCATTATGTCATCTACATTGAGTTCGAGGTAAAATAATCAGAATTGAGGACTCTCGAAAAATCTAGACCGGATTTGTTCTTATTGAGAACCGTTTTTGATTTCAGACATTAAAGAAATTATAAAGACATCCCAAATGAGTTTATAAAATGTTGCACCTCAAATGATATGACAAATTTTATAAGGGCTCTCGTTTGGTAGACGTATTATAAGAGAATTTGATTGTACTCTTTTTTATTTAATCGGGTTTAAGACTTTGTTTGGTATTCGTATATTTTTATACGATAGACCTGTATTATAGAGATGTTTTAATACCACAAAGAGATGTGATATTATAATCTAACTCAAACTTATTATTCTATACAATTACTATTATACCCCTCAACTAATAAAATCAAGCTATTATCAATGTAACAAACACTGATTGAATGTTTTTTTTGTTAATTCAACATTAATAGGATCAAATAATTTCCTAAACAAACAATCGATTGGATTAAATAACTATTATCCAATATTTATGTTGTATATTGTCAAACATTAAATAAAATTACGTATTATTCTAATATCCTATTTAATCTTACCTTTTATCCTTCTGTATTGTATTGAATTTGATTATTTTATCTAATCTATCTATATTTCTAACAAGACAACCAATGAGTCTTGAATGTTTGGGGAGAGTGAATTAGACCCATTAATACAATCATCAACTTTGATTTGGTATAGAATTGTGGTAAGCATTGCAATTCTCTTTCTAAAATTGGACCACATAGGCCAAGCAACCACAAGCTACATAAACAAGCCCAATCATGGTTGCCATCTTTTTTTTCAGGGGCAAAATCGTAAAATGGCTAAATTGAACTGCTCCAATCACAACTTGAAAGCAAATTTGAAATTTGAAAATTTTGGGTCACTCACATAAATCCTCCTGCTGGTCACGTGCGCAATACATTTTTTACTTCCAATTTTCTAGTTTTCATTTTGAATTTTTCATTTCCGTATAAAGTACCGCCCAATTTTCACTTTGAAAATTTGCCATTTCGCCTCTCTTCAAGCTTTCTCTTTCTTCTTCTTCTTCTTCTATGCTGTGTAGAACCACTTCATCATCATCATTATCAAGCGCCTTCAAGAAACCCCCACACACCCTAACATTCTTAAGGTAAGCACATAAACCCATCTGCTGCTTCTTCATCGTTGATTTTTCTTTTTGTCTGGTTTGGTCAAATTTCTGCAGTCGGAAAATGCGGAATTCGAAATCTGGGTGACCGAAAAAAGGTTTTTCCGATATGGGTCACCGGGGAATACTCTTTCATCTGGAATTATTTATTTTTATTTACGGGTTTCTGAGAAATCGACATTTCTTCATTTTCTTTCCAAGATTTGTTTTTGGTTTCGCCATAAAACTTCCATATTTCTGAACTTATCATACCTTGATCGTTACATGTGTAATGCATACCCATACATTCTTGTACTATGTGAATTTGCTTATATACTTGTAATATAAATTTGTGTCTAACATTGTTGCTTCCAGTTGAAAATTCAGCAAAATGTCGGAGCCCAGGGACCGGTTAAACAGGCCTGAAGACATTTCGGTGAGGTTCAGTCGTCGAAGGAGGTCAATCGGTAGTGGCATCGGAATCTTAGCTGATGAACCAGAGATAGGGTTGGGAACTCCGTTCCGGTGGGGTGATACGGCGATGATGGGGACACGTAGACCGATTGGAGTGGCAGCTACGCGAGCAAGAGGTGGTGGTGGTGTTGGGAGGGGTAGTTTGGGAACACCAAGAATTGCAGGAAATGGGCGTGGCCGGAATATTTACAGGTCGCCGGTGGCGGTAGTGGGTCAACAAAACATGCCGCCGGGGGGACGTGGCGGGCTAGTTATTGGTCGCGGCCGAGGACGAGGGAGGAGTGGCAGTGTGTTACCTTCTTGGTACCCGAGAACTCCTCTTCGTGACATCACCGCTATTGTGCGGGTAAAAGTTCTTTAACTTTTCTTGATCTCTTGAATGGTTGTTGCTTGATTTGGTTGTGCTTATATTGCATGGAAAATAGTTGGTTTTATTCAATTTGTGCGCACATTTTGTTGCTTTGATCAATTAAAGTTGAATAGATCTTTTTCCTTCTATGGTTCCTTCAGGAGCATTTCTCTGCAACTCTGGTAGTCTGGTTCTTCTTCATAGGAAGAGTGGTTAAATAGGTTTACAATGATTGGTGAAAAAAAGATTTTGAACCATCAGATTAAAGTTTAATTTTTCATAGTCTTGAACGTATAGGAAAAGTAATTTGTTAGTCCATTGAAAATCTTGAGTATAAATAAAGATGAGTCTAATTCTGGATCCACCCAGGTATCTTCTGGATCGATAATAGTTTTAATTCGAATCTAGTTATAATATCAATATTGAATGTTTTTAACATGGGTGCTGAACATCATTGGAGCAATATTGTTCCTTAACTGAAGGTGTTATGCCTTTTCATATTTCGGAAGAGTTCTCTTTTGCAATTTTTCATCTTTTGTTGTTTTTTATTTAATTGGTGGCTTGATTTTCAATCTATATTTCAACTATTGTTTCTTTCAAACTGTTACCTTTTATTTCCTCAATTTTGATTTTTACGAAAAAACTCGAATTTGTTTTCACCGAAGCTAAGTCATGGTTTTCTGACATTAATTATTCTCAGCTTATTTATGAAGTGAGGAGCCATGCTATAGAACTTCAATTTCATTCCCATCAATGTAGTGGAACAATATTGAGAGTAAATGCAATAATAATTGGCCTCTGTTGGCCCCATATCTCATCGTACATTTCACTTTATAGCAGCATTGTTTTATTACACGTCTATATTTAAGCTCATTATTGGTTTTTTAGCTTACTTCTATTACATAGTTGGCAAAGTTGTATTCAGATTCTGATCTTCAAGTAGTACATATCTTCATCTTGGTCTGTTGTGTATAGTTTCCTTATAATGTTCATGACTATGCACTTTTCTTCTTCTTTCATTTGTATGCATTATCCTTTGAAAAACTACATTGTGTAGTTCCGGAGCAGTTTTGCAATACTTGTATCTTGTGAGCAAGAAGAAGACATTGGTGTTTAGCATCCTCCAGTGAAATTGATATTTGAAAGCCTGATAGTTCACCACTAAAGTAATCTTTTTTTTTAACTATTGATTATCTCGAGCGCAAATTTTTATGCTCTCTGCTGAGTCTAACTTTTGGAAGCAGGCCCTTGCCAACTTCTGTAGGTTAAGTGCCCAAATTTTTGCCTCTAATGTAATATTGCTTGTTCATTATAGGACTTAGTTGTATCTATCATCATATTGAGCTTGACTTGGTAAGTGACATATACTTTTGGGTTTTGGTTCAGTTTCCTTTTTTGATGCATTTTGCAACTCTCCCACTGGCTGCGTATTGTTTGGTCAAGACAATTGAATAGTTTTTTGTCCATAGGCCATAGAAAGAACAAGAGCTCGCTTGAGAGAAATGGAAGGCCAACAAATTGAGAGTCCTATACCCCAGGACCAGGCTGTTCTTTATCCATCTGTAACTATATCAGGTGCTCCACTTGAGCACGATTTTTCTATGATTTCCCCAAATCCAACAATTGGAATCAGGCATTGTACACCATCTGTTGGTAGAGTGCCCAAGATATTGCTTGATGTCACCAATCAGAATGCAGGAGAATCAGATTTTCTCACACCCCAGAAGAAATTGCTGAATTCAATCGACACAGTTGAGAAAGTTGTGATGGAGGAGCTGCGTAAATTGAAGAGGACTCCCACTGCTAAGAAGGCAGAGAGGGAAAAAAGAGTCCGCACTTTGATGTCAATGCGCTAATCAACGTATATTTTGTTCTGATTTCTTCATCAACCATGGTTGATAGCATAGAGATTAAGGATTTTGGATGAAAGGAGAATGGACCGACCTGCGTTGTAAGATTGATCATCTTCTGATGATCTGTTGGGCTCTCGTTTGTTTCGAAAGATAGTGCCATTTTTCTATTTCTACATCTTCTTCACATGTTAACTTCTACCCGAAGATCTTACCTGAGGATCACTAGGCGATTTTGCTCATAATGTCATCTGCTGAAGGTTTTGATGTAGGATTAGTAGATACTTTTGTTTCCAGTTCCTTTCATTTACCCAAGTTCTTGATGTAGGATTATAGTGTGGCATTGAACTGATGTACATAAATGGCCAGATTGCACTCTTTGTTTCATTACTTGATGAGGTCTTTTGCCCTTGTAACTGTTGTTCTTAATATGATAAGGCAGTAGTCATTCTATCTTAATATGATAACTCTGGGAGTCTTGTTCTTAATTGTAACTGTTGTTCATGGTTGATTGTCATAGAAACTTTGGGATTTTCTATCTTGAGATGATGAGAGGCTGCCCACAGTCGCTATTTAATTACTGATCTGGTATGAGTTTGAGAGTTTTAGGATGCTGGTTTGGAGCTCTTTTATTTGAGGGTTCCTACATTGCTATCTATTATAGTAAGATGTAGAAACAAAATACATTAAACATCTAGCATATTGAATTTGTAATTTCATGGCTAACACATCTCCTATAGGCATACACTAGGAAGAAATGGATTGTCATGGTTTTAGCAATCCATTTGTTGAATTTGGCAAAGATTTAAAGTTTTGATATATATTTGCTATGAATTGTCATGTAGAAATGTGTTCTGTGCGTGTGTTGTTGTTGTTGTTATTATTGTTTTTTTTTTTTTCGAAACGATGAAAGGGGGGTGGTCACAGAAAATGGACCAGCACCGTCCATCACATGGAGGCTTATGGGTGACCCTTCGATTATGGTTCATATAAAAGCCCATTAGGATTGGGCCGAGGAAATTTTTCTGGGCCGGGTTGTCTATCCCTGTCCATTGTCCACCTTTCTTATTTCGCTTTTTATTCATTTTTTTTCTTTCTCATAAATAATTTGACTATGGTACCGATTTTTTTTTAGTACCATAACTCCATTTATTATATTTATAATTTTTTTTGATCTCTGTTATGTTATCCCAAAAAATGGTAAAAATTATTACAACAGTTATAAAAATATTCATAAATATGATAAATTTTTTTGTATAAAAAAAAATGGTAAAAATAGTACTAGAAATGTGATAAAAATATTCACAATAAATATGACAATATCTAAAAAAATGATTAATCACTCACAAAATAATAAAATTTTTAATTATAAAATAACAAACAAAAATTATAAAAATATTTATTAAAATAATAAAAAATAAAAATAAGATACCAAAATAATTTCTTCAATGTTGTAGTCTAAGTCTTTCATAGATATACTAGTAATTGTCTGTACCTGAAAGCACAGTATAACGAAAAATTAGATTAAAACTTGAAAAATACTACATTAACTATTTGTAACTTAAAACAACCTATCTATAAAACTTACAATCATCATAATTCACCATACCGTGTGTACTAATTAATACATACCTAATCATCAACACATGTCCAACCACCAAAATATCAAGCTACTCCTTACTAATTTTAAAAATTTTTGACAGAATTTCCTTTAAAAATAGAAGCCCAGAAAAATGTAAACCTGTTAACAAAACTTACAATCATCAATAACAATCATCATAATACACTATATCACCACAATCATCAATACATACCTAACCACCAAAACAACCATCATTCCATATCTAAAATCATCAAAACTATGCATAATTAGTTAACTTTACAAAAGACGAAACACAAAAAATATAAACATGCACAAATAGAGAAATAACTTCATTTTCTTTATAGCGTATACTAAGTATCCTTCAATGTATACCTGAAAATATTTGAAATATAAAAATTATCGAAATATGGCAAAATAAAACAATTATCAAAATACGTGAGGCAAAACATATGGATAATACATAATTATTGTCATCAATTCCATTACTTTGAATTATCTAAAAAACAAATGAGCACACACATTTGTATATAGTGGGGGAGGGGGGATGATTTAGATTGATATAAACAAAAATTTAGAGAGATTGTAACAAATTAGCAATTTATTTATGAAAATATATGGAGTAGTGTAGAGAAAGACTAACAATCAAATAAGTCTTTCTCAGTAGCATTTTAACAAACGATTCATTTGTCTAATAATTTCAATCATAAATCTTTATTGGTGGCAGTATAATGGTGTGTGAGTTCAATTTGCAAGTGTGTGATTGATTACAGTTGTGTGTGTGTGTGTGTGTGTGTGTTTGTGCAAGTATTGTGTGTGTATAAATCCTCAAAAAGAGAGGCTTTCACACCTTGACAAATGTTTGATCAATGGTGGGTTAGTCATCGTCAAAAGTGGACAAGTCGGTACTGGATTACAAATCGTTTGAGTTTTCTCAGAAATAATGTCATCTTTCAATAACTCTCATTTTCATCCGTTTAAACCTTCTCTTCATCTCTATCCTTAATGTTCTCGTATCAATACGAACACACTTTGCCCAATGGGAGGATGCACAACCACCTAAATTATTCACATAAACAATAAAATTAACACAATATATATATTATAGGAATAGTAAAATTATTTTGAATAAATGAAGTAAAAGTAGATTTACCTGATTACGCCAACTCCATCCACAAAGGTCCATTGTATATACTCTATCGTTCTCTTTGACAAATTCACTTCAATCCTACAAAGAATGAACCTCTTCGTAAAATTAAAAATTAAAATGTTGAAAAGATTAGAAGAGGTTTCTTTTTCTTTCCCTTTAAATTTGGCATTCGCCAATGCATTAGACCTTTTTTTTCTCTTTCTATTATAGATTATGTATGGGGTGTAAGAAAATGCTATTAACAGGGAAAAAAATGAATGAGAAAGAGGTGTGAGGTAATACTACCTCACGTATACGAAGACGATTTAGTTCATACTCATTACGAATTACCACTTCTACATTATTATGACGAAGTCTTCGAACCTATAGACAATAAAGGTTAGATAAAAAGTTTTCTAGATAAAAAGGTTGAATAGTAAATAAGCGGGGTAAAAAGGTTAGATAAAAAGTAATAAAATGATGAGTAAGAAAAACTTATCATACAGTATTTTTTAGATCATTGTCCATCTGTCACGACATTAATGAAGATAAATCAACATAAAAAAGTTATTAAAAAAATCAATAAGAGATGTTTAGAGAGAGTTAATCAAATGATAAACTTACATAACAAAAAATAATGATATCATCCATCGGTCGATGATTATGCAGTTGAAACGGTGGTGACTACATAGTAAAATTACAATGATTAACATCAATTACAATGAAATTTCAACTATGAAATTAACATCAATTACAATGAAATTTCAACTATGAAATTAACATCAATTACAATGAATTTTCTTTCAATTAACATGCATTTAATCAAACCTAATACATACACAAAATGACAACCAAAATTAGCCTACAAATTACACAAAATGAACAATCAATAATAACCAACTATAAAAAAATCCAATTAAAAAAAATAACCTATTTCATCATAACTATAACAGCCAAATTAAAAGACACCCAATTAAAAAAAACAACCTAACATTTAAAAAACCATTAAAGCAAGGATGTGTGCAGATTCAATTAAACACCCAATTTAAACGACATTCAAAAATCATTAAAGCAAGGATTCAAAAAGACACCCAAATTAAACACCAAAATTTTAAAAAGTAAAATATAAAACCCCCTTTATACACAAACATTCAAAAACTACTGTGCAGCGTGTGGTTGTGTGCAGATGTGCTGCTCTATGTGTGTGAGAGAGAGATATATAGAGTGAGATATATCTCTCAAGAAATATCGAAGAAGCTGTCGGCAACATAGATAATGCTGCCTGTGATTAGATTATGACAACTCTATATGTAAAACTTGTAGATTTTGGTTCCACATTGTTGAACAAATGTCATAGGGTGGATAGGATGGAATTGGCTTGCCATGGGTTGCAAGAATTTCATAAAGTTGGTTGCTGTAAGTGATTGACAGAAACTAAGATGGAGTTTCGGTGTTAAACAAAAGGCCAAAAAGCTAAGGGACAAAGGTTGATGATGATTTGGTTATATTATTTGCTTAATAAGTACCAATATTATATTATTTGCTTACGAAAAAACAAACTAATCGTGCTTTTTTTTGCCATCAATGTCATATTATTTGCTTACGAAAAAATAAAATAGAAATCAGGAATAAAAAAAGAGTAGAAACCTTATCTTGCTTCTATGTGGACCTTTGATACATAGCAACTCCTTGAATATCCTAGTCTTGACATTGATAATTTGTCTTTGACTGGACTAAAGAGTGAATTAATCGAAATGTACATAAGGTGGTCAATACACTCCTGATAATTAAACCAAAAAAAATAATGGTTTAATTTACGTAGCATGCTCGTCTTGGAACACCCAGAAAAACTAAAGAAAATTAATGGAAAAAGAAGAATAAACTTGTGAAGGAGAACAACTAAGTCTTCCATTCTATTCTCCAAAAAATATTTACATCAAACTACTTAAAAACCAATGCTCTCAATGAAATGTTGAATAGAGATCAAAACTGGGAAAAAAAAAAATAAACCCAGTTGAAAAATCTAATATTTTTAGAAGCTTGCATAAATTGAAATCTAAAGGAATAAAGTCCCAAGGACCCCAACCATCTCCAAATGAATGCTTAAGATTAACAATAAAGAGGTCTTGAAAAATGTCAAAGAAAAGTGAAAATCAACCAGGAAAGTAATGAATAGTCTGTATTGGAAATACTTCAAATTCACTACGAGGTCAATTAGAAATTCGATTGTTGATATATACAAAAACCTTTCATAAATGCATTAGAAGTTGCTAGAACTCCTACAAAAAGCCGATACCCAGATGAAAAAAATCCATGGATACACAGAGAAAGCTCTAAGAAGTGAGAGATGACTCAGAAATATGATCAAAACAAACAAACAAAAAACAAACGATGGAATAAAAATCAGATTGGATAAACCTTGCTAAGGAATGGAATAAAGAAAATCTAAGCAATGAATCACACTTCATGGTGTTCAGTAGAATAAGGAATGGGAGAGAGAGAGTCCTCACAAATCTAAATCAAAAATCTATTAGCTACAAAAGTCCCCACAAATCTAACATGCAACCTCAAATTCAGGAAACTCACACAGGCCAAATCAAAAACCTGTCACAAAGAACCCTTCATACCCATCATACCACATGAAACCCCATTTTCCACCATCCAAAAAGAAAAAAAAATTTAAATTAAGGGACCTGATCTGGAGTCTCATGACTCTCCCTATTCCTCATATTGCAGAGTTTTAGT